TCTCTSTGTCTTTCTTCAAGTATAAATTTAAGCTTTTGCATAATGGTTTAATTTGAAATTACTGTGCCTGTGAATGTTACTGTGTTTGCCTGTGTTGTTGGCAGGTCCTGTTTAATATGTGAATATAAAAATCACTTACCTTGATTAAAAGAAAAATCTCAGGTTTCTCCATAGAAATGCACAGATTTAATTGGCATTTTCATTTTAGATCTGACTATTTCTTCTTGCCCTAGAACAGTACTGCTGATTGCTTAAGTGTTTTAACTACTTTTGTGGTAATAGTTGTGCAAATTCTACTTAAGTAGAATTGATAAAAATAATCATTCAAGCTTCTTCCTGTTTTACAGGAACTTCTAGATGGTGTAATTATTGTGCAGGAAAGAAAAGGAAACTGTGATGAAATTAACATAGACAAGGTATGCTTTGTCTTAATTGTGTAAGATCTAAAGCRAGTCAGTATTTACCATCTCCATAGGAACTGATACCAAAAAACCTGCTTTGTTGCCTACCTATGCCTAGATTCCCCTARTTAAAGCTCTGCTTAAAATAGGCTTTACCTTCTGTGGGTTAAGTGTTAAATGTACAGCTTCAGTCAATGTAACTTAGTGAAATACAGATTTCTTTGCCTCTCATCAGCTGTTTCCTGCAGTTAGAAAACTAAACTTATCCCCTATAGCAAGTCATTTAACATTCCACAAAAAAAAATCAGAGTTCTCGTGCTGAGCATGTGATAGGATCCCATGGAACTTTTTAATTATCCTTGCAAAATCCTGAAGATAACCAATTACTTTATTCTTCTCTCACTGTTTGATGGTGAATGTATTGACTGTCATTTAACACACAGCACACACTGTCTTACACTGCTGTGTCATTTTTTGCTCCTAGGTGAGGCGACAGGCTCTGCAAGAGGAAATCGATAGAGAATCTGGCAAAACCAAGGCTTTCAGCTCCAAAGTGGSACAGGTATGTAGGAGTTTAGGCATTGACTTGATGGAAATACCGTGAAGAAGCACTGATGTTGTTTGTATGGGGCTCAGGTAGGTGCCTTGGCACAGCATCTCCCTTCTGGCTGCAGATTTAGGGTGATGCTGCAGAGCAGCTTGGTCCAGTGCCAGCAGAGTCTGAGAGCTGAGCTGTGAACTCACTGGAATTGTACAGTGCTCTGATTCCTCAGTCCTCAAAAGCAACATTTGCTCGGTTCCTCTGGAGAACAGCCATCAGAAATTGCTACARAAGCACTTTCTGCTTACTGTGAAATACAGGTAATTTTTGGGCTGTGATGCAGCAGTCACTGAAGTGTATCTGATTTCTTACCTCAAGACATTCAGAAACAGGGACCCCTGGATAGGTAAAGGGGGTTACAACTGTTCACACAAGTGTGTGTTATTTACAATCAGTCTCCTCATGGTTTCTCCATCTTTCCTCCACCTCTTTGAAGATTATTCTTTGCTTTTGCATCCTGCTCAGCCTGGCTCTGCCAGATTCACAGTAGGGTACTGGAAACTCGCACTAGTGTTTCGCCAGGGGTARAAAAGATTGAGGGGAAGAGAAATCTTAGCTATTCAGGCTAATTCATGTTTCTGTTGTTTTGCAAGACTGCCAGAATGCCTGGAAAGCTGGAGTATGCCTCAAACAAATGCCAGAAACAACTTGTGTAGATCTRACGTGGTGGGAGGGAGTCTGTGTAGCTCTGGAACCACAACTGTGTAATAAACAGTCTCTGAATCAGTGACAAAAATGACATCCTTGGCAGGAGAGCTCCGTTCTCTGGCACTGATCTGTCTCTGTTTAGTAGTATGCAGAAGAATAGAAGCTGTGAAAACTCATTCATCACATTGAAAGAGTGAGCTGGAAATGCTTCAGCAGAGCTGGGGGTAGTGCCTGCCAGCAGCTCACATAAAAACCGACTTTGGACAAGCCAGAATTATTACATTTGCATCTATGCAGAGGTCTCCCATTGCAAAGGGAGGGTTACACTCAGGTCACAGATAAATGAATATATCTGTATGTGTGTATGTATTGGTCTTATACAGCACCTTGCCTCTGTGCAAGGTCAAAACATGAAGTATTATGGGTTGTTTTCTTTCAGTAGTAGGATAGGCACTGATACTCCAGCCTTGCCTTTGTTTTTCAAACTTAAAAAATGGTTCTGTAGCTTGCCAGCAGTATTGGGTGGTGTGCTGTGGGTCATGTTGGCTGTGTGCTGGAGAATGTTTCATACAACTGTTCTATTGAAAGGATTTCAGGGCTGACATAAACATACCACATTTTTTTCCTTTGATGTAGCCAGCTTAGTCTATTTAATTAATAATCAGACATTTTTCCATTTAGTATCATGCCCAGTTTGAAAGAAAAAATTGTGAGTGGAAATCCTGCCAAAAATATTTATGAYTGCATAGCTATAGCTCAGGAGTGARATACACCCTTTGATAATGAGGCCTGTTCTTAGGTAAGCCAAAAGTTCATTAACTTCTTTAATCATTGGTGTATCTCAGGTTTTCCACAAACAGCTGAAATCTCWTTTTAGCTGGACATTGCCTCCTCAGAAAGGAACCAGAATCTGCAGACAAAAGAGAAATCCTGAAGGGGTGAACTCATTGAGAGAAAACACTGAATGCAAAGAACAGAGCCAGGGAGGGGAGGCGTCAGGAGAACAAAACTTTGTCCTGTGCCCTCTGCTTTKGCACCCTTGCAGTATTAGCTGTAATTATGGGATGAGAATGCAAATACTCCTTAAAGCTTATAAGCCAGATTGAACAGTCTCCACAAGTAACATAACAAAACACTGCTGCAAACAGCTCCCTAACGAAGCAGTGGGGAAATGAAAAGATAACCCTGTGAAGTGACAGTGAAAGAGGATTAAGTGTGACAGTTTTCTGAGAATAAGAGATGATGTTTGGCTCTCTGAGCCAGGTAAAACGAGAGCACAAAGCCAGGATTGCTAAGGACAGAGGGAAAGGGGATTCTCAAAGCACTTTAACCCCTGTCTCCAGGTTAAATGGCCTGAAATGCTGATGAAGATGCACTCAGGCAGAGTTAGGTTGTWCTTTTACCACATCCTTCAGGAGGTACAGCCCATGGAATAACAGCTTGTGATATAATAAGAGCTTTGTCACCCTGCCCAGCTTTGTAGCTGGTTCTGTTCTCAGGGTACACAGCCAGAAATTGAATTCCTTGGTCTTGGTATTCAATTCCTTGGTCTTCATTTTAGTGTTAACCTTGTTTTTCCTCACAGGATACAAAGTTTGGACAGTGGAGTACAGCTACTTTTAAAAGTTCTGAGGAAGAAATGAAGTTTTTTAGACTGATGGGTGGCTTCAAAAAGGGTTCTGTGCCTATCCAAAATCTCTCAGCAACGACAAACAAACCAAACATGGCTCTGAACAAGGAAGGGCAGGAGAAGTTGCAGCAGGCTCTGAAGATGGAGTTTGATAAAGCAATGGATTTGAAGCAACACAGAGGAATAGGTCTTGGATTTCAACCTACTGCCAACAAAAAAGTATACATAGACAAATATACATCTAAATCTATAAAATTTGAAGATTAAAACTCTGAAGTAATAAAAAGAGTGGAATTTCTTTTCATTTTCAACATCTTTTTACTTGAAATAAAGTAACAAAATGCTGAAGAAATTTCATTTATGAGATGCTTGAAGTACAAGTTTTGAGCTGCACAGACCTCTGGAGCTGCTCCTGACTTCACCTGAACTGTAAATCTTTGAAACCTTTCCCATGTTTGTTCTCCAAGGCACGGGACAGYCTCCTCCAAAGMCTSAAGATGYGTGCCATGCCTGCAAYTATTGGAAATTCAGTCATTTTTTTWAAATGCTGGTTTAATAAAYGTACTTTAATCCATATCTTAGTGATTCAAGAGGATTTTATTGTTCTGTAAAATCTTCATAGTTTGCACTCAGTGAGCAGTACAAAATGATGGTCCTTTAAAGGGGTTTTACTTTGAACACACACGAGTGGTGTGGCCTCAGATTTGATGAGGACAAACGTTTAACACAGAAAGTAATTCTTAAAAATCGAATGTCTTTGTGATAATAATGGATAGCATTGACCATCCTCTGTATTTGAACCATGCAGCTGGATTTTCAATCTGCAGCTGTTACCTGAAAATGAAAGTAAAAGCATTTTGGATGGCAGTACCAAATCTATGGATCTAGACTGCCTAAATTATGGAAAGCAACATAATTTTAATAATGTGCTTATTGGATTTATGTCTGAATGAAATTTCTAACCTTTGGATTTTCTGACAACCTGGACTTGRAAATGGCTTTTTAGCAAGGGCCCAAAATACAAGACTGCATTTGTGTACATGTTCAGAATTCAGGAGGCCAAAGCACTCTGTCAATGCATTGCTTGAAGTTACAAAAAACAGTGAAAAATTCACATCTTATTTCTGGCTGTGCCATTCCTTATGGGAGATGGTGGTGAGTTTGAGTAGCTCTGGTTTTAAGAGGACAAGTGACCATCTTGTATGTCCATGTCTGTGTAAGGATTTGGCTCATTCAAATACTTAACTAAGCAAAAGCAGCTGTAGATGCAAAGTCTCAAAATGGTTCCTTATCATGGGGCAGAAGTGGTGAGAGTGAAATTTTATTAGAAGAAATAACAGTAGATGCAACTAAATTCCACAAGGGTAAGGTGATAAATGTGTATAAACAAAAAACTCCCTCAGAACACACAGATGAAGTGCAAAATGTTTTATACAATGATAGTGCACTTTGCAAATAAAGAGTACTTTGCATACATTTCCATTTTCCTTTGCAGCACTTAAAGATTGCTTCCATTTTACAAAATATCCCAGACTAAAACAAAAACATGAACATGTCTGTGAAAATCTATTGTAGAAATGAGAASAGGAACACCTCAGTCATTGTTCTCCTCTATGGAACCAGGCAAACAAATCATCCCAAAGCAGAGTTAGTATGATTATCATCTTGAAAGCTGCTTCCTACACGGGAGGGAGACTCCTCCACGAGGGATGAAATTTTGAAGCTGTTAATTCATTTGTACAGATTATCTTCCTTTTTTTTTTGTTAAAATTACAACAGATTAGATCTCAAAAGTCTTTTGCAACCACAGAGGTTCAAAATAYTGTYTACTGAACATAGATAACAAYATTATGGTAAAACTGGTTACAGAAAATCAGGTTAAATTACTGCACTCAGAACAGTTTTACCTTTACTGTGCCTCCCTAAGGAAAGTAAAGATGCCCTGAACTGCAGTCAGAATCAGAGCAGTGATGTTTGGTTCCAGGCTCCCTTTCCCTGCAGGGAATTCTCAGGTCCGGGACTGCAGCGGCAGCCGAAGCGCCAGCTCAGTGAAATGATTCATGGCAGGCTCTTGGCTCYGCCTCTTGATGTGTTCCAGGGTTTTCACCTGCGTTTGAAAAGAGTTTTAGAGATGTTTTGTGTCTTTCCTCATTTCATAAGGATCAGTTCATCCTTGTGAAGGTGTATTTAGACAGACATACTCAGGATTATCCCTAAATGTCACTGGCTTTGTGAGCATGTGGCATCACTCACTCCACAGCTCATTCTCATTTWTCTTTCTCAAAGGCTCTCAAATGCCACTTTACAAGCTTTTACCAGGCACTTCCTCCACGAGATAAAAATGCTCTATTTCTCTTAAAGTTAGTTTTCTGTACTGAACAAAAAGTTTAGAGCACTCAACACTTTCAGGTTCCTTAATGCCTGACGAGCATTTTATTGATATGAAAGATTCAGAGCGTTGGAATAAGAGAAGCTGATGGTTCATTAAGAAGAATTTAGAAAAATCTGTTTGGGTGTCAAGATAATCTCARTTTCTTTAAGATAGTAACTCATAAATTGAATTAGGTTTATTCAGATCCAGAAACTGTTACCTTTTCCCAAATAAAGAGTGGAAAAAGATTAAGAACTGGTATTTCTCTGAATTATCTGTTTCCCTCCCTTACCATAGTCTTGGTATCAGCAAAGCCGTGTTTCTGAGCCAGATTCCAGAGATTGACTGAAAGCTGGTTCAGTCTGTTGTTTCTTAGGTCTCCGTGAGCCAGGATGGTGTTGAAGAAGTAGAGTGCCAGCTGGCTCTGCCTCTTCAGGGTCTACAASGAGAGCAAAACCATTCCTGAATCACCACACAGCCATCCCAGAATACCCAGCTTCACCCCTGGCTTCTCTGAATTCTCAGTTCCCAGGGCACTCGTTTTGTAACACACAGGAATACAGGAGTAGTGTTCACATTCCATTCAAATGCTACAAATAGCAGCAGTTTGTAGAGCAGCAGAAGCTGCAGTGAATGAAATGATTTCACCAGACTCGTGCTCATCAGGGCACTGTGGCACAGCAGAGTCTGACTCGTCTGTAACTCAAAACTCCCCACAACTGCACAGAGATCACCTCCCACCAACCACCCTTGCACTTGGAGCTGGGTAATTTTTTTAGAGACCACTATCATCAGTCTAAATTGAGGCAACTAAATAGTCTATTCTTTTATTTATTTCACTGAAGACGTTTTTCCCCTGCTACTCTTTCACAGAAACTCTGGTGATATGAATATATGGCACCATATTTGTGGCTGCTTCCCCTAAAACTGCTGAGGAGGGACCTTAAGGAGCCCAAGAGCATCTTCCCTCCTCACAAAGCAGAGAGGATTCMCTGCTACATGACCAGAAACAGCTTAAACTTTACACAACGGTCCAGAATTTAAAATTTCCATTCCAGCACTGTCACATAAATGAAGTATTCTCTAATTCTGTGAAAAGACTACACTGTGTTAACAATAAGATGCATTGTTCTCTTCCACGTTGCCATTTTGGTGAAAGGATTGTATTGTGAGAAAAACTTACTTTCCTTCATAGCTTTTAAAGGAAATGAACCAATAAAAACATAAAATCATCAGAGGCTTGCTAATTTAAATGAGCAGCCAAGGTGAACAAGAAAAAGTCACCAACACTGACACAATCCAAATACCACAGAGATTTTATGATCAGTTTTACTTCAGCACACTTAGAGATCTCTGATAATATTCTCATCACTTCTACTTCCTCAGCAACAACAGCTTCCTCAAACAACTTTTCATTCTTACAGTTTTTCTCTAAAACTCTCCATGACTTTTACTCAACAAAGCAAAACCAAGGGTCCCTCTTTGTTAATCAGGAGGGACAGAGGAGCAAATCTAAGGCTCCAGAGGCAAAGGCAGACCAAGCACCTCTATCCGTGCTGCTCAGCCTGAAATCCCATTTTCCATGCAACAACCACTGCAGTGGAGTCACACAGGACCTCCTTACTCAAAGAATTATGCTTGAAAGTAGAAAACAAACAAAAAAAAGGCCTTTCAGAAACCACAGATTTCAAGCCTTACAAACACTCATACCCACACGATCCATATGGGAGTCAGTTGCAAAAAAAATCTCTAATATACAACCCTCTGTCCTGAAAACTTAACAATTTCCTTCCAAGGCTTGGGAGGACATTCCTGGCTGTGCTAGAATGGTTCTGCTGCTGCTGTTCTGAAAAAGAACTACTGTTCACTGTGGTGATGTGCACAATGATGTGAGGATTTCAGCAAAGGTTACATTCATCTTACATCTCTGCCATTGCTCAAGGAAGGACAAACAGGAGAGTAAACCAGAGAAAAGGCTAAACTTAGCAGTGTCCTCCCARAATGGATCACTGAATGCATTCTGTATTGGCAACCAGTCCAGCTACTGTGTGAACAGACCATTTAAAAAACTCCAYCAAATCAATCCTGTCCTGCCCTCCCTTTCCAGAGGGAGATTCCTGTCAGCAGCACCATCCAGTACGGGGTGACTGGAAAGCTCTGCAAGGGTCCATTCTCAGGAACAGCTGCATTAACAGAACAGTAAGTTCTCATTATTTCAGTAAGCAACACTCACCTGCTTTCACATACAATCCATTCAGCAATATTTGATCCCTCAGAGCCTCTGAATGCCAGTCAAGAAATCCAGTAAGCTGCCCAGAATTTTCTTYATTTTATATTGAACAAATATACTAAAGTCAGGGTAAAGACAAAACATCTTTTKCCTCCCTCAATACCTCTCTCCTGACATCATCCCAGTGCCAGGGATCTGAAACTTTTAAAATTACAGGTGGCTTTCACTGTATTTTCCCAGTAATAAACTGAATTCTCACTTCATTTATTASAGAATTGGCCATGATTAGGTGTCTYCACCACAAGCCTGCCTGTGTGATGGACTCCCTTTCTAAACAAGTAAAAATACCCAATTTCCTTTTGTTATGAGGTCCCTGRAGCTTTGGAAAGACCAGTTCTGGGTCAAAGTCAGTCTGCTTCTTCAGCTCCAAATTGTTTGGTTTTTACTGAATCAAGCTGAGTAAGAACATACCTCTTCTTTTCCAAGGGTTTTCAGATGATCCAGGATCTGTGACACCACTGTTTCACTCAGTTTATTGATTTCAGCCAGGAACTTGGAGTCTCCACCATACAGAGYATCATTGGAATCCACTGCAGAGAGGAATTCAAGCTTAGGCTAAAGAGCTCCACATTTATTTGCTACTGAAAACATCACAAACTGAGAGAGGACTGTATTTGGAAGTTACAAAATGACCCTCCTGCATGAAGCAAACAGAACAATGTTTTTTAAGGGCCCAGCACTCGGTTGCTGCTATTTCTTTCTGATTTTAGGAACAAAACAGTGAAAAGACTTTTCTAACTCAAAGCCTTCTGTTCCTAGGTGCAGCCAGGCTCAAAAATATCTGCTAGACTTAATGTAAAGCAACATGTCTTGTCCTTTTTCATGTTTTCCACAGACTCCCTGCTCCCATCACTTTAGAAGAGTATGGCTATCATCTTCAATCAGAAAGCACAGAAGATAAAAGATTAATTCCCTTTTTCCAAGTAAACTTCATTTTAAGAAGCTAAGGTACAAGGTCCACCTTGAAAAAAACCATCACCCTACTACAGGGGAAAAATTACTCCTTTGTATTTCCATGCTTGTCTCCATTAAAATCTAATTTAGATTTCTCATTTTGCAATTATGCAGCTATTTTGGTCATATAAAAAATGGAGTGAAAGAAAAAACAGCTAAACCACACTTCATCAGAGAATTTGAAGAGCAGATTTATTACAGAGTGCAAGGAGCCAGAGCCCCCTTTGCTCCTACCTTTATCCACATGGTAGATAAATGCTTCTTGAGTCATTGCAGACAGCAGATGCAAAACATTGGTATAAATCCTGACTTTGTCATCACTGTTATCCTCCCARGTATAATCCTGGATCACATTCAGTAATCCTCGTACAAGAAACAACACTCCTTGTTCTGGATGGTCCTACAGAGAAGAAAAAAGATGGGAAACCAACACCACAACCCAGAACAAAACCAGGATTATCTGCAGTCATTCAGTGGTGGAGAGTCCCAGCATGAGCTCTAGAAAAGCAAAGCTACAACAGAATTAGAGCTGACAGTTACGTTTCTTAAGTCTGCTTCCTGCAATCCTTTAAAAATGTTTTCCAGTTTCCATTTAAAATGCCCATTTGACCCATTATCAGAACATGATCTCGGCAGCTTCCACAGACAAACTTTGAAAAGCTTTGTTTTCTACTTATGGGGGAGTAGTGCAAAATTAATTGTCAGCTTCTTAACAGCTAAGCCTCTAAAATGAAACACTGGGTAGATTTTGTTATTAAAATCRTATCAGTAAKCTGCAGTGTATTACTCATGAGTTTCAGAAGAACACCTGCACTGGGAAGTCACAGACAATCAACAATCTTTTAACATGAAATGGAAAGAAAGACTCTGCTTTACATAAGCTCAGAGTTTTTACAGACTAAGAGTTTTATAGACTAAGCCCAGTCTACTCTAAATTTGTTAATAAGAAAGTCCAACAGTCTATACTGACCTGTGCTGTTCATACACACTCAACTTACCGGRACAACCAACAACGTGGAGAAGAAGTTACAGAGGAATTCCAGCAGGAARGCATCCGAGGGTCGCATCTTCCCATCGACACTGATCATCTTTGGCACTTCGGGAACAAGGCTCACTGCAGCTTTGAAAAAAGCATCAGCTGGAAATAAAACCAGAGCTGCTGTTACATCCCTGCAGTGTGATGGCAGCCAAGCCTGCGAGCCAAGGGCTGCTTCCAATGTTTCAAACAGATCCCAGAAAATGAATGTGCTGAACTGCAAAGAAACCAAAGACTCAGAGAAATGTGTTAATTCAAATGATGCTGTTTCTTCAAAGGAAGGTCCCACATCACTCCAGACATTCTGGATTTATAACTCTGCCCCTTTGCATAACAGGGAGACACCATCATTTCATACGTATTGCATATATAATAAGAAATTAGTGCATGATTCAGAAATGGCTTATCAAGGAAATGCTCATGCCAGGAGAATGGGGAATCCAAAGGGGGGGAAAAGGTTCATGCTACCTTGTTCACCAATTAATTCACAAAAGGCTGTTAMAGTTCTAAGGAACTACCAACAGCTTCACTTTTCTAATTACTTCTAATCATTAAAAGAAAACTATTAACACACTACCAGAACCTGGGGTATTACTGGCTACCTACATAAAGGGATGTTTTTCAAGAGTCACAATACAGGAATTAGAGAAACATCCACTATTACAACCTTGGCAAAACAGCTTTGAGAAGYTTTTCATAACTCTTTGTTATGTCTGTAATCTTACAAAAACACAAATTTTAAACACTAGAACATCTATTCCTCAGCTTATTAATATTCATAAATTGAAAGCAATAATATTTTCCCTCTTACACTAGAAGACCTCCTATATATGCTGAGTTCACAAAAAATTTCTGRCAGCAACATTGTTTTGCACTTTCTTGATACCATTTCAGAATATCCAAGTATCCACTCAYGTTGTTTTGCCATGCACTTCAAAGCATCCTTCAGAATGAACAGTGCAYCTTTATTTTACAGGAACAGGGACCAAGGCCATGTGATCAGATTTTAYCAAAGGCAAAAGGAGAATTCTTGGTGAAAGCCAAGAGCTGTTCCATGGCTGGGATGGAGACAGCACTGACAGGCAGGGATGGGCATTTCCAGGAGCGCAGCTTGCTCTGGAAAAATCCATCTGAGACTCCAAGCAAATCTGCTAAATATAGCATCAACTGATATCTAATTTAAGCTTATGAGGAATACCAGGGAAACACGTGCTTTGGAAAAACTGGAGTTCTTCTCACTCTTATTTTTTTCAGCACAACTGCTCAAGCTTTCTGGACTTTTTAGTGCTCAGAATGCAGACCCCTTCCCTCAAACACTCGCCTTCCTTTTATCCTGAAAACCACAACAATCTTAYGTTCTTGATTAAAAAACCAAAAAGAAGATAAAAAGGCTTCTTCTGGTGAAGTATGCTGTTTTCTTAYCTGCCTAAAATACAAGACTGCTTCTGAAGTAAACCACAGTTAAAGTGGGTAAGGGCAGAGCAGTCTGTGCTTTACAACAAATCACCATGACAAAGCCTTCCCCAACTGCTGTTAATATTTTGTGCAGTGCTCCCAACATAACATTCTTCATGCTTCACTAAATTCATCCTTTCAAAGCAGCTCCTTCATTTTGCTTGACCATAATCCTATAAATCTTTCCCCCAAGCACACATGCTGACCTTCAGGCTACAAAAACTAAAAATATAAAAATATACCAAGACAGAGCTTGTTTAACACATGCTGAATTACCCATGCAAGTGACATGTCTGTGAGTACAAATTATACCCAAAATAGCTTTTCTGAGACCAAAAGAGTGTGTAACAATAACACCTCAGTGAAGGAAGTGAGTTACTGAACATCAGAGTTTTGCTCTTGCTTCATTGCAACAAAAGCAGAGATTCAGCAAATGCTCCTCTCTGTAGTTTGTGTCTACAATTGAGGAGAGTATGGTTCATAAATTGCAGTTTAGAGCCTGAGTTCATGATACTTTGCATATCCCTGCTACCTGGAAAGATTTCAGGATGGGGATCCTGGTAATTGTTTAGTGAGGACACTGTATTTACACGTCAAACAACAGCTGTGCACATTTGTAAACTCTCACTCTGTAAAACCTGGACAATTGGAGGCCCAGGAGCCTCATTCAGAGAAGAACTGAATCACAAAATAGTGCAAAAGCAAGTTATAAACTGAAAGATGTTAAATCACAGAATGGGTCTCAACACAGTCAGGGAATAATCCTCAAAGACCAAAWATTGGAGAAAAACTGATTTGGATTTGGTTCCAATAAGAGAAGCTCTGCAACAAAGCAACAATAACAAAAACTGACATACAGGATAAGGTAAAATGGTCAATTAAATAAAACAGCATAGGAAGAAAAAGTGAGCCCATTTTACATAAACTCTGTTACCTACAAAGAAACTGCACAATGCCAGTTGCACAACAACAGACTTTGCAAATCTTTTATTTGCACAACAAACTTGGACACCACAGTCAGCTTTACTCTAAATCCCTCTGCTTTGCTGTATGGGCAACACCAGATTCAAAACAAAGAAAYACAACAGTCACTGTGCACCAAAAAGTCTTAATCAGCATCCTCAGTCAGCTTGTTTGTGCAGCTGGAAGCTGCTGGAAAATGCAGAACTTGGAAAACAAACTCTGGAGAAGCAGCACAGAGCAAGCACAAAGAATTAACAGCCACAACAAAACATGTCACAAAGTTATCCAATTCATTACTCTCACAGTTCCACTGCAAACATGCAAAGCAAAAGCATTTACCAGTGGAGAGCCAACATTTAAAATCAGGATGAAAATTGCAAATCAAAGTAGAATTACATCAGTTTAAAAAGGAAAAGAAAAATATTGCAAGCAGTTAAAAGTATGAGAAGACCTGTGGAATAGATAAACTGACTTCTATTTGTGACATGAAAGAAACAAAATCATATTAAATGGTGATAGACTTAAAGCTCATTCTCATGTCAGAATAGATCCCATTTTCTTCCCCAAATCACTTTTGGTCAGAATTTTGAATTACTTAACACTAAACTAACAGGATGACTGAAAATGTGCTCAGGCTGTGATTCAATCAATAATTCAGATCCAAAGAAAAGAAAATATATTTTTCAATCTTCATATGATCTGATACTTGCCCATTTTTTCATTCTGATATAGTGACATATAGCTGCTCTAAYAGGACAAGTTTTTACTTTAATGTGYTKGAAACAAAGCTGTATTTTAATTGCATCATAAATATACATATGACTTAGGATATCAACCAAGTTATTACTCACAGCTAGAAATAGTTCTGAAATGAGAGAACCTTGAAGTAGACAAATTTGTGCCTTACCTTGTGAAAGGCACTGATTTGCCAGAGCAACCTGTCCAGAGTGCAGATACAGATTGAGACGTGTGAAGATACTGCTCAGAGATGGAATTGTAATGAAGCAGAAGGCAACACATGCCTGAAGTAAAAAAAACAAAAACAAAAAAAAGGAATAAAATTCCTATCTCAGAGTTATAGCAATCCTTACTGATTTAAATATACAATTAAGAAGCAAAATCTGTAAATCAGTTGATCAGTTTTGGGAAAGGTTTTCAATACAAAACAAATATTACACAAAGCCCAAAATCAGCAATTTTAAATGTCTAAACTTGGGTGGCATCAGACAGTATTATCTGCAAAGAAAGCAGGCTCAGAGTTTATCAGTCAGACCTACCCTGACAAATGCAGCWGTCTTTCTGGAATGACTTCCTTTCATCACCCTCCTGGTTTCCATTGCTAGCTGGTTCACAGACTACATGAACAAAACAAAAAAAAACCATTAAAGAAATGCACAGCCTCAGTGGCAAATTACAAACTGCATGTTTTACTGCATGCATTTGGAGAACAGCAAGTCCAAAGGACCCTGATGCCCTCACTGCACTTTTCACTTTTTGCTTGGAGAATTTTAGTGACTGTTCCTTAAAGCAAATATGACTCAATTTGTGAAAGCTGACTTGTTTTATTCAAGCCTTTAGCTTATCCTTTCCTTCCCAGCTATAGGGCTGTCACCTCCTTGCATAACAAGCAGGATTTCCAGATAACACAGATTAAAAAACCATAAACCAAAATAATCAAAGGACTTAAGGGAAGATGACAATGTTGCAGTGGAATCAGCTGCAGCTAATGCTCACCTGWGACTCAATACAGAGAGAGATTAACCTTCCCAATCCCAGCAGGACTGTGCCTGGATCTACAGCCAGACCCAGTCTAATCTTTCCTAGATGGAGGATTATACAAGAGACAATCCCAATTCTGAATGCACAAAAGTGTCACTTCTTTTACTATATTTGAAATCTCTTGCAAAACAGCCCATACTCTTGGTTGCAMTGAGACCATGCATGCCTGTCAAGCAAGAACTTCAGAATGTTTAGGGGGATAAAATCAGAGRTGAGATCAAAGTTCACTTTATTAACCCCTGATTAAAGTACTTCAGCCTTACACCAATAATCTGAGTAGAGAATGGCAGAACTGCAAATATATCCCCATTTMTTAAGGAAATGTCAATGAACTGTGGCTCACATGAATCAGCTGGACTAGAACAGGCTCCAGATTGCAGAACATGGACCTGGATTCCACATAGAAGCTCAGCTGCTGCTCAAAGTCACGGCCAAATGAAACCTGTAAAACACAAAAGCCCCTGGACTTTACCACTGTAGGCAATTAACTGACAGATATATAAAACTGCACACAGATAAACCACAGACATTCAAAAGTCAAAATCCCCATTTACTGCTAAGGAGAAAACCCACAGTAACAACAAAACAGCAGTCAGGGAATCTCTGTTCTTTTAACTGTCTGCAGTACTTAACCCTCAGGGAAACATGGAAGTTTCACTGTTTTGGTTTTTCTGTCTATACTCCACAAGATGTTCTGCTTTACAGATCGTGTATTTTTCAAGAAAACAAAATTTAAACCTTAGGTTTGTTAAGTGTTTTCAAAACTAGCAGAACTCTTGATACTTTATGACAGAAGACAAAGGCTTGGTTTTGATCATACTTACAAAGCAAGACAAAAAACCCCAGAAAAATAGAAATAGATCTGTGAATCAGTATTCAGATTCCTAAAATTTCTAGTTGATAAAGGGCCTCCAACAGAAAATAGTGTTTTTCCTAATCAGATAAAGCAGTAAGAGAAGCAGGATTTCCTTGAGGTTGGTTAATAAATACATGCTTATATAGTATGGCAAAAGCCTGCAACCTTGCATTCTGCAGGAAAGAAGTCAAAAAACAACCTTKGTGTGAAAACAAGCCTCTTCAAGGCTGCAGATCTAAAACACCCCAGTGCTGTCAGCTGCAGTGTCTCAGCTGTCAATTAAAGCAGAGCATGGGGAACAGTCTCCAGGCACTCTCCAGTCTACATTTATGCATTCTATTGGAGTTTTTTTCCTAACAGAAGTAAAGGTTGCATTATTTATTATTTCTCAAGTCACAGGCAAAAGAATTTTTTTACAAAATTAGAAGCAAATTTACATTTAATCCATAGAATGAAAGATCAAAGAAAGTGCATCAGAAGCAAAGGATTGCTTCTCACATTACAGACAGCCTGTCTTTGCTTTTCCCCTGTTTGTAAAACTGCTGGTTCTCAGTCTTGAAGGTGCACCCAACAGTTCCACAGAACAGTAACTCACCATTTTTATGAATCCATTTATCAGAGCTGCTAACGTTCTTTTCTCATCCTCAAGTGTTAGTGCACTAGAAAAAAAATTATTTGGTAAATTTTAGAGTATTGTTTATCATATTTATCTATAAAGGTTCAAATTATATATACTATTTTACATATTTTYATGTATAAAACTAATTTTAATATGAATATCACCAAGTCAGCCATGAACCAAACTAAACTCCAGATTAAAAAAAAAAAGGAAGAATTGCTGAGTGTCTTCAGATTCTACAAACACCCAGGTTTTGGCTTGACAAGAAGGAATTGATGCTAATATTCCTTACTGTAGCAAACAAATGGCTTCAGTCTCGTGTTGCAGTACAAGAACTTAGTTCTTACTCAAGTCTAAAAGCCTAAAGAAATTAAGTCTATTCTTAAATGAAAGATCCTATTTAAAGAGTATTTTAAAATGTATTTTAACTAGTATATGTGATAGTGAATTTATTTTAGAAACAATAGTAGTTTATTGTTTAATTTGAAGCTTGTTTTGTTTAGGCTTTTTTGTTTTAATTACTCTTGCCTCAGAATTTAAAAAATAATTAACATCACCGAGCTACAGTGCTGATTTTCTTTATATTTCAGTTAGAAGTGAACTAAACTGGTATCTAAAAAGCCATTTCTTTTCAAAACTATCACAGATACCCATTCTAAAGCAAAAATCCAAAATCTGATTTGAAACCGATTTACATCACATAAAAATCCAGTCAGTCAAACCTGTTTCACTGAAAATGGATGAACAAAATGTTCAGTTGCAATTAACTCATACAATTTAATCCCCTTACTATGATATGCTTGACTTCAGCTTTGACCTTTAGTGTATCAGTTACCAATTTCCAGCTCAGACCSCAGATGGGAAGAGAACAATAGTTTTACTATAGAAATTCAGTCAGGGAGGCAAGAAAAGCTCAGCATGATCAGCTCATTAGTGCATTGCCAATGTAAAGAGTCAGTGATGGGCTCTCAAGGCTG